CCACCAGAGCGTCACTTCCGGGATCTGGCGTCACGCGTCACCGTGCCCCGCCCCTTACCCACCTTGCTGGGCGGAGCTCTTCAGACCAGCGCAGGTGGACATATCTGTACCCAGACGCGCCTGTAGTGGGAAGCGGGTAATGCTGTGTGGACCCCCATTGTGTATATGGAAGGGGCAAACTGGGTCCACCTGGACTCGCCTTCCGAAGTGTGTTCCTTCCCTAAAGGTTTTGGGACCTTCACGGATAGGAAATACGATAATGTGTACAGGGAGCGCAGAAACAAAGAGAAATGTGGTAACGTGCACCTACATTTCCAAGTCCGTTCTTACAAATCAAGTATGTAATAGATGCGGGGACCTAGCGACACAGAGGTGACTAAAATGCCCTGCCCCTCATACTTCAATGAGAGAAGGGAGGAAAAAAAATTAATGGAAATATACTCGCCAATTTATCTTCTCAAAGAAATGGCTCTTTAAAGAGAGAAACATGCAAACAGGCAACCTCCCTCTCTATAGGGTTTCCTCTTAGTTTTGATGAGATAAGCAAACTAACTTTGAAAGATGAGGTTTGTGAAACCAATCCCAATCTTGAGTACCGGTGAACCGGAAAAAGCATTTAATTGGATAGAAACTATGCCTGTTTAGTTCCCTGGTATTAGAACTGCTAAGTCGAGGTAGGCGGTCAATAGTTGGGGAATGAATAAATGGGACTATCCATTATGTTGAAGCTATGTGACTTTTTAGAGGTGCTTGCGGAATAGAAGGGAAATGCTGATAATTGAATGTCAACACGAGCCCCTTGTCTAGTTGAAATATACAAGGTTACGAAAGGTTACTAATCCAACGTAGCCGCATTCCACGACACTGGTATTCAACAGAATTGAGTTTCTTCCGTCCCCCAACTTTTCAGAAACAAGTTAAGGAAGAGATTAACCCATATTGCAAGGTGGAAAGGGAAAAGAAGTCTTTTAGTAAACAAAACCACGCTCCTTAACAAATATTGCTTTCCAAAGGAGGAGGATTCACAATATAAAATCCACACACCCATTTTCCCTCCTGCCACCTTTACAAAACCAAAGTCAAAACCAAGCCTTTAAGTCTTCTGCGCGCGCCTCAAATTGGCCCCTCCGGGGAGTGGTAGGGGTGATGTCATCACGGCGCGACCGCAGGAAGTAAGTTCCAGATGTTCAGTGTACTTCAGGATCCTGGAGCTTGTGCGTCCAGCATAATAGCTATAATCCCCTTACTCCTCTATCTCTGCACCACATGGATAGTGCCCGAAAGTCGCCCACGGACAGCGGTGGAGAGACGAGGGAGGCAGACGAAACGGTCGCTGCTCCCGGGGACTTGGTGGCTACCGATACCGATGGAATCCCAGAGGAAACTGAGGGAGACGGAGATGCGAACTTGAAAGAAGGTGCAGCGGAGGAAGGCGAGGTAGGAAGAGATAGTGTTGGTGAGGCTGGAAGAATAAACCGAAGTTGTGTTATTGGCTGCTCGCTAGGCTTCCTGATTAGACATTCCCAAGCTATAAGAACTCGAACTCACCACGACTCCCTCTAGATCTGAAATCTTAAACGGGTAGGGAGGAGACAAAACAGAAGTCTAGTGCTAGTTCAGTTCCAGAGACCAAAGCACTCGGTCGGTATTCTTAAATTTTTTCCTTTTAGGGAGTAAAGCTACTTCTAGGGGAGTTTTAAATGGTTTTTGGTTTTTCTGGTGAGGAAATTGGAATCCAGTGCAAGAGCTAAAATCCAGGATTCCTAGCACTCCTTTGCCGCAGTATGATTCCTGTTAGCTATGACCAGATCTGTCAAAGGGAAATTTTATAGCAGTTCCGTGTTGAATCATGTTCTTAACACTTTTGGGACGTTTGATTACTACTAGTGACCTGGATGTTAATGTCCAGGGTCTCTATAGCATAAAAACAACAAATCTCTGAATTGTGTCACCCTTAGAGCTCAACAGCGTTGCCTAGTTCAGCATCAGCCAGGGGAAGAGAATCTTAGTGTTCTCTGGGTTCCATTTCTAGAGGTAGAATCTTGGGGACTTAGCGCTAGAAGGGACTTAGAAAATCCCTTAAGAGATCGTAAAGTTGAACATTAGATTAGATGGAAATAGCATTTTGGAGCATAAAGTTGGATCAAATTACATATGAAGTAAGAACTTTTAGAAAAAGAGAAAAATGTGACAAAACTATTGTAGAAAGGAAACTTTAAAACAGGTCTCAGGGACAGAAAGGATTTAAATAATTACTTTAGTCCACTAGACTACATACTGAAATTCTCACCCAACAGAGGATAAAATTGTGATACGTCTGAAGCATATTTAAAAATTAATCATGTACCAGAACACACACACAATTCTAATTTATTTATTTATTTGTTTTTATTCCAAAAGATGGAGGAGGTACAAATATTTTTGTTACATGGATACCTTGTATAATCCTTCAGTCAGGGCTTTTGGTGTACCCATCACCAGAATAGTGTTCATGGTACCCAATAGGTAAGTTTTATCCCTCACCTGTCCATCCTGTCCCCTTCTTGGTTTCTAATGTCCTTTATCTCTCTGTGCCTGTGTGTACCCAGTGCTTAGTTCCCAATTATTAGTGCGTACATGTGGTATTTGTTTTTTCATTCCTGAGATGGGTTGCTTCAAAAGACATTATTTAATTCCTTACTATGGCTGACTAATGCTCCATGGTATATATGTGCACCTACATATCACATTTTCTTTATACACTCATGAATTGATGGGCACTTAAGTTGATTCCACATCTTTGTAATTGCAGTTGCAATTGTGAATTGTGTTTTGATAAACATTCAGGTGCTGGTGTCTTTTTGATAAAACTACTTTTTTCCTTTTGAGTAAAGAGGTATCCAGCAGTGGGATTGCTAGATCGAATGATAGGTCTACATTTATTTCTTTGAAGACTCTCCAACTATTTTCCATAGAGGTTGTACTAATTTTTATTTATTTATTTATTTATTTATTTTTTGAGACAGAGCCTCAAGCTATCGCCCTGGGTAGAGTGCCGTGGCATCACAGCTACAACAACCTCCAACTCTTAGCTTAAGTGATTTTCTTGCCTCAGCCTACCAAGTAACTGGGACTACAGGCACCCACCACACGCCCTGCTATTTTTTGTTGCAGTTTGGTTGGGGCCGGGTTTGAACCTGCCACCCTTAGTATATGGGGCCAGCACCCTAGTCACTGAGCCACAGGTGCCTCCCAGGTTGTACTAATTTGCAGTCCTACCAACAATACGAGGTCTGACAATTAAGTTTGAGAACACTTTTCCTAGAAAAAGTGCTATAGCTACAATACTTTACTGCTGAATATCACTACAGTCCCCATCAAAGTACTCCCCTTGGGAAGCTGTGCACCAGGCATCCTCAAACTACAGCCCGCAGGCTACACGTGGCTCACCTAGGACATTTATCCAGCCCACCGGGTGTTTTTGCTGCCACTGCCTGTCCTGCTTAGCAGCCAACTCGTCCCGGGGCCTGCGGTCCAACCCTCCAACGGTCTGAGGGACAGTGAACTGGCCCCCTGTTTAAAAAGTTTGAGGACCCCTGCTGTGCGCCAATACCAGCACCTAGACTGCTCTTCACAGCAGTATTGGAACTCTTTCTCTGGAATGACAATCAGAGCTGTCACAAAGCTCTGACAGTTAATTTCGCAAACTTGCCGCCATGCATTTACATTGGCTGCACTGCACAAACAATTCGGTAAGGTTTCATTCAGTGTCTCACAGCTGTGTTCATGTCAGCATGGTGGTAGTATCGTTTATTGTTGTGGCATGTTTTTGTGTGCTGTACAATCATAGTTGTGATGGTCATTCCAGTAAAAGATTTCTAAAATTGCTTTGAAGGGTGGCATTGGTGCATAGCTTCCCAAGGGAAGTACTTAAAAGGTGACTGTAGTGCTTTTCAGCAATGAGGTATGTAGCACTTGTTGTAGGATCAGTTTGTGAACATAATTATCAGACCTTGTAAATAAGCTTTCTATTCCCTCTGCATCCATGCCAGTATCTATTAAGAAAAAGTAGAACTGGCTCAGTGCCTGTAGCACAGTGGTTATGGTGCCAGCCACATATACTGAAGTTGGTGGGTTCGAACCTGGCCCAGGCCAGCTAATCAACAATGACAACTGCAACAAAAAATCACCAAGTGTTGTGGCAGGTGCCAGTAGTCCCAGCTGCCTGGGAGGCTGAGGCAGGAGTATCACTTAAGCCCAAGAGTTTGAGCTTGCTGTGAGCTGTGACACTGCAGCATTCTACCCAGGGTGACATAGTGAGACTATGTCTCAAAAAAAAAAAAAAAAAAGTAGAATTATAACAGGCCATATCAAATTCAATGGTATTTAACCAAAGCCTTATTTAGAAAAAAATTCATAGCTTTACATAGTTTTATTAACAAAGAGAATAAAATAAAGTAGATTAATATAGGAACAAAAAATTAGTAAAATTAAAAATAGATACTAATGAATTAGTCCTTAAAAAAAAAAAGGAATGATCAAATTAAAAACTGGTTATTTGAAATATAAATGTACAACATTACAAAATGAGAAAAGGGGGATATAATTACTGATATGAATATCTTTAAACTTATTAAAAAATTTAAGAGGTGGTGGGAGGCCAAGGCAGGTGGATAGCTTGAGTTCATGAGTTTGAGACCAGCCTGAGCAAAATCAAGACCTGTCTCTACTAAAATAGAGAAACTGAGGCAAGAAGATCGCTTGAGCCCAAGAGTTGGAGGTTGCTGTGAGCTGTGATACCAGCACTCTACCCAGAGCAACAGCTTGAGACTCTATCTCAAAAAAAAAATTGGGAGGTGGGCAAGGAGTGCACTCCCCATGCCTCCCTGGCCAGACACTCGTGCTAGAGTGTTTTCATGATACATAATAAAACACAGGCACCCTTGCCTGTTACATTTCTCCTCTTCCCATCTTCCACAGTGGATGAGATTTCCTGTAGATCCCACTGGGCATTACAGGCCACATAAGGGGAGATTTTTTTAAAGTCTCATGGAACATATCTCCATTGCAGGATGTCTGGCACATGTAAGACATCTGACAGCATAGGAGATACTCTGAATGGGCACAGGATGTCGCCTGGAATCAGCCCTGAATGATCCAAACTTTCCTTAATGCTAAATGTGCTGCCTGGCACAGTGGCTCACATCTGTAATCCTAGCACTCTGGGAGGCCAAGGCAGGTGGATTTCATGAGCTTACAAGTTCAAGACCAGCCTGAGCAAGAGAAGACCCCATCTCTACTAAATATAGAAAAACTGAGGCAAGAAGATCACTTGAGCCCAAGAGTTGGAGGTTGCTGTGAGCTATGCTGCCACAGCACTCTAACCAGAGCAACAGCTTGAGACTCTGTCTCAGAAAAAAAAAAAAAAAAATTGCTAACTTTGCTGTTCCTCATTCCAAGATGCCTTTGCACTTCTGATAAATGCAAACCAACAACTGTCAAGGCTGCTACAGAGGGAAAATTATTGGCCTATAAAGCCTGGAAGACTTTTTTAACAAAGGAAAGCCCCTGATTATTATTTGAAATGCTGAAGAAGTTGCTGTAGAGAAGATTTTTTTCTTATCCCACTAAATACTACTTTGTGGTCCTGGTTTTTTCCTTAGTCACCTTCTCTGTTGTAAGAATTCATCAAAAGCCTGAATTTGTAAGCATCAGACACTTGGAGCTTGTTGGAGAGAATCCTAATAAGGATATTAATTGTACCAGAGTTTTGCAGGGCAACATAGATGAAATCCAAAAAGTAAAGCCTGAGATGCTACCAGTAAAATTCAGAAAGTGCACTCAGTGGACACCTCATGACTATATGAATGTGACCAGTGACTATATTTCTTTCATCAAGAGGTGCAAATGTATTATGGAACCCCTTAGGAAAGAAGGAGCAAGGTTTCCAGTAGCATATTCTGTAATGGTTCAGCATAAAATCAATATGATTGACAGGCTTCTTGGGGCCATCTATATGCTTCAGAATTTCTTTGCATTCATGTGGACAGAAAATCGGAGGAGGCCTTCTATAGTGATGGGCATTTCATCCTGTTTCAATAATGTCTTCGTAGCCAGTTGAAGAGTGTGGTTTGTGCATCATGGAGCTGGGTTCGGGCTGACCTCACCTGCATGAAGAACCTCTACAGAATATGTGCAGACTAGTAGTACTTGATAAATCTTTGTAGTATGGCTTCTCCTATTAAAACCAACCTAGAAATTGGCAGGAAACTCAAGTCTTTCATGGGTGAAAACAACCTTGAAACCAAAAAGATGACACCCAATAAAGAAGAAAGGTGAAAGAAGTGGTCTGCAATTGTTAATGGAAAGCTGACCAACATAGGGACTGTCAAAATGCATCCTTCACTTGAAACGCTTCTTTTTTTAGGGAGTGCCTATTTTGTAGTCAGTAAGGACTATGTGGAGTATGTGCTAGAGAATGAAAAAATCCAAAAGTTTATGGAGTGGATGCAGGACAAAGCCAGATGAGTATCTCTGGGGTCACTATCCAAAGGATCCCAAAAATCCTTGGCTCACTCTCCTTGAGCTTTAAGTACAACTTGTTTGACATGCTGCAGTGGCCAGGTTTGTGAAGTGGCAATACTTTGAGGGTGATATTTCTTTCTTTTTGTTTTTAAAGGTACTCAGATGTCAATTTTATTGTTTCTCTACACACACACTTATTTGCTGCTACAAAGAAGATAAAACACATCAAAACTTCCTTTCATTGCAGTTTTTGAAAACCAGAAAATCTAATCAGTTATTAAGCTCTAGCCAAACTGCCAAATGTTTCCTTCACATTCTTTTCCCACAAGTTACTTTGCTGAAAATTCTTTATCCTGCAAACGTCAAGCTTCTAAAACTCATCGGAACACTTTGTTTGTTTGTTTGCAGTTTTTGGCTGGGGCTGGGTTTGAACCTGCCACCTCCAGTATACGGAGCCGGCACCCTACTCCTTTGAACCATAGGCACCACCCAAGAATGTTTTTTGGTGAAATTGGCTCAGTGTCATCATTCCCTATTCTACCATTTTCAGAAGGATCCCAATTGTGATACATGCAGTAACTGCAGCGACATTTGAATGGTTTACTGTAGTCATTCTGAACTCTCGTAAGTCCAGTGTCTTTGTTGTCTTCTCAGCGGAGAAAACTTATTGATTAAAATATATCTCAGTCTTGCCAGCCATTCTCTCTGCACAGATAACAGCATCTGCACTCCTCTTCTCCTTACAAGAGGCCAGCCATCTCTAATATCCTGGAAGATTCTTTTGCTATCCTGTTGTTGGGTAAAACCTCCTAGTAGAGAGGGAGGGAAATCGGTGCCCAGGTTGAGATACAGTTTACTAAGGTTCTTTATTAACATTTCTGAGAAGTTGTGTGAGGACTCTGAAACATCTTGCAAATCTTCTTCAGTGAGCATTTGTGAAGACTCTGGGATCAAGTCTGAGTCAAGTGTTTGTGATGGATCCATTGCAGCCTACTCTGAACTGTTAGCTCTTCTGGGATCTTTGAGTCCCTGCAGAAGTGCGAAGAAGCCCATAAAGATCTTCATAGCCAGGAACAAACCTAGGATACCCGAATGCAACCTTAGGGTGATATTTCTGAGGGCGCTCCCTACCCACCCTAGTGCAACAGGGTCCCTGTGCACTCTGTGTGCATATTTGGAGCTGGAGACCTGAATTGTATGCTATACACTCACCACTTGTCTGCCAGTTTGCCATGGAAGCTGACCATTTTGCCATCTGGTGTTTGGATGAGCACCTGAGGCATAAAGGTTTGGAGACATTAAGATACTGATGATGGTAGGCAGTTTTCGGGTTAATAAGAAAGAGTATACTTCTATACTGAATATGCCCTATCTGGTTTCTCTTCCTTGTCAATAAGCAACAGAAAAATTATATGGTATCCTTTTAGGGATAGAGACTCTTCAATCTTTACATTAAGAAGCTGCATGATTTCTGCAGAGCACAATTGGTTAGAAAGGTTATAGCGTTAAATGTCCTAGGGTTAATATGAAGGAGAAATAAAGTAGCTGTGAGGCCAGGGGAGTCATCAAGGCATTTTGGAGAGGGGGTGCTGGGGAAGAGGCCCGTGTCAAAAGTCAGCCTGTTAAAAGACCTCAGGGACTTAACAAAATGAGAAGATTTGGCCTATGCCAAAATTATTTTGAGAATTTTAAATATGACCATTTTCCTGGGTGAATAAATTCATAGCAGCAAATAATCATAAAGATATAAAAAAAAAAGAAAATTTAATGTTTAAGCTTAGGCCAAATAAGTGTGAAAATCTAAAAAAAATGGATGACATTTAAGGAAAATATAAATCTTTAAAATTGAAGCCAAAGAGATTAGAAAACTTGTATAAATCAGTAACTAGAAAAAAACTGAAAAGATTGTCAAAGATATCTTCACTTAGGCCAGGTGTGGTGGCTCACACCTGTAATCCTAGCACTTTGGGAGGCTGAGGCAGGTGGATTGCTTAAGCTCAGGAGTTGGAGACCAGCATCAGCAAGAGTAAGACTCTTGTCTCTAAAAAAAATAGCTGAGCATTGTGGTGGGTACCAATAGTCCCAGCTACTTGGGAGGCTGAAGCAAGAGGATCACTTGAGCCCAAGAATTTGAGGTTGCTGTGAACTATGATGCCATGGCACTCAACCAAGGGCAACAAAGTGAGACTTTGTCTCAAAAATATACATATATGTGTGTGTGTGTGTATATATATATCTCTACTCCCACCAACCCCACAAATCTTGAATTCCTCTTTAAGGGAAACAATTAAATCTCAATGAGTTTTCTAATATGGTTAAGATTCTGTATTAAGTTGGAGGGGAAGGGCTTGGCGCCTAAAGCTCAGCGGCTAGAGCACCAGCCACCATATATACTGGAGCTGGCAGGTTCAAATCCAGCCCGAGCCTGCCAAACAATGACAATTACAACCAAGAAATAGCCGGGTGTTGTGGCGGGTGCCTGTAGCCCCAGCTACTTGGGAGGCTGAGGCAAGAGAATCACTTAAACTCA